AATGAGGATGGGGTGGGAGACGGTGTCAAAGGCTTTGCTGAAGTCCAGAAAGACTACATCCACGGCAACACCTGCATCCAATGCTTTTGTGACCTGATCCTAAAGGCAGTCAGGTTGGTCTGACATGACCTGCCCCTAATGAAACCATGCTGGTTGCCCTTGAGCATCATCTCGGAGGCCGGCCCATCACAGATGTGCTCCATGATGATTGGTCTGATCCTGAGCTGGCCCAGGAAGTACCATCTGCTACATCCTATTTTTATTTCAGGGAAGTATTTGGGAGCGGCTGAAGATAAGATGGGTTTGCATGTCACCATGCCAGTTAACCCAGCAGATGTGTAAAGTGTAGCTGGGCTCTGGGAAGAGCCATGGGAGTTCATAGCAGCAGGGAATGGTCAGGAAGATTCTTACCCAAATAATTTGTGGCACAAGGAGGATAAGTCACCCTCAGTTTACAACTTTGGTGTCTCCGGATGGGCAGCCCACAACCAGGACATCCCAAAACAGCCTTTGCAAGTGTTTGTTCTAATGGATCCAGCCTCTAGGAAGAAAAGATAAGTGTGAGTACTGGCACATCCTCCAGCACGTGTCAATACATTTTCTTTTTCCAGCTGAGCCTCTTTACCATCTCTGAGCAGCAACCCATTCCCTCTAAGGAAGGAAATCTCTAAGCTTGATTCTGGACACCCCACCCATCTTGGCAGGCAAACAGGTGCCCCTGTACATGAATCTGAGTGCAGTGTAACACACATGGCCTGAAGACATTGAATCAATGTTTTATGGCTCAGTCTCTGGTCTTCTAGTGCTGCTGCTGGCCTGATGCTGTTGGAAAAAGCAGTCAGAACTCAGCTTTTGTTTTTAATTATTGAGACGTTTCGATGTGGTTCCCACCTGGGGACAGCCCTTGAAAGCCACAGTCTATCTGCACAGCCACAGCTGCAGGGTTCAGTGCAGAGTGGAACAGGGTGAGACATCACCTGACACGGACAAACCCTGCTTCAGGGAAAGAGGGACATGCAGTTTTCATGAGCCTTTCTTTGCAGACACAGAGCAGACCAAGCAGCCTGCTCCTTCCCTGAATGCACAGGCACCTCTCACTGGCACTAAAGAGGATCTCCCACTGTAAGCACTCATAGTAGATCCCTTGTCTTCTTGGAAGGCCTTGCGCTTACTCACTCTCCGTCTATCTTGCTGTGCATTTGTCCCTGGTTTGTGCTGATTCCTGCATCTGAGCTTGGCATGGAGTTAGGAATGCGGTGGAGTAGGTGGAATCCAGAAAGAGTGCTACAGATTCAGATAAAGGTATTGCCCCACCTGTGCTCCAGGTGAATACTCACTTGGCCCTAAAAGTGGAGGTGCACAAGCAGCCAGTGGCATCTTTGGGAGACAGGATCCTGAATGGTAACCCACCCCATTCAGGGGCACAAGTAACAATCTCCCTTTTCTTGTCCTTGTAGGATGACAGAGGATGTGTTCTGGTACTCAGTGCCCTGCTATGCATAGCTGCCCTTAGCACTCCCCAGTAAGTCCACAGTTCCCCTGGCAGTGCCACCTGCTGCTTTCATAAGCTGCTCACATGCAGATGTGCCCAGAGCTTTCACACTGACTTTTCAGGCTTATGGGCTGCAGCTTTCGGTTGGTTAAGCCCCGTGCGTATTATGAATACAGCCTTGGTGCATGTGGTCTAACACAAGGTGTTGCATTATGTCACCTGGCCAGTTGCTTTCTGATTTATATCAGTTTCTGGTTTTCCACCTGCCCCCTGGCAGTCTGGACATTTTGATGTTGGTTGTAATAAGAACAGAGGCAGACCCTGTGCCTCAGCCTCTGCATCCATAAATGCTACATAATTGAGCAAAAAGCATGTTGAGAGTGAAAAGCATTGCTTCTCACTTGTGCTGGACTTGCCAGCTCTGCCCTTTTGCACACTTTTCTCCTACATTCTGCACGATTACCTAGCACTCTTCATGAAAAAGTCAATAGCATACAGGAAATTGCAAAACATATGAGGATCATAAAGGAAGTCTTGGAGTTTTAAAACGCAGATGTTTTTCCCTGCATTATTGTGCACACCTGAGATTACTACAACAGCTTTTAAACCAAATCCCTTTTCAGCATCCAGGCGATTTGCTTCCTTTCTGAGCTTTGTTCAGCTTCGTTTATGGAAATACACCAGCCATCTTCATGGTAGCTTGAAGGCAGTTGCTCTGCAACTAGCCCAGTGCAGCTGGGTTTGAATCCAAAGCACTTGGTTTTGATGATATTAAAAAAGGATCAAGCTCTCTGCATGTATTTATAACAGTACTAGCAGCCAGCACCTTCAGCCTAAATATCCAAATGAGTCCCCATAGTCCAGCAGCACTAGTGGGCAGCACGTTTCTAGACAGACTGTCCAAATCTTCTATTTCACAAACTGGGCCTGGCTGGAAGCCACAGGGTTTGTGGAAACTTACTACCATAAAGAAGCTTCCTAAGGCTGTCGTGGCAGCAGGTCTCAGCTCAGTGAGACGGCTGGTCAGATGCCTTGGTCCATTTGGGTCTTGTTCGTTCCTTCTGTCAGTCACACGTAAAAGGCAGCAAACAAGGAAGCAGTAGCAGGTTCATACGCAGGTAGTGGCTGGCCTGTGGAATTCAGAGCAACAAGAGCATGTAACCGGAACCAGGCCTGGGCGGTTTTCTGATCCTTGATCATGCATGTAACTGCACAAGCTAGACTGGTGATTTGGTTAATCAAATCTCATGCTTGAGGGCACAAACTGATCACTGGGGCAGGGCTCACCAGCGCTGCACAGCCAGCCAGCTGGGTTCTGCAAGGCCTCTGCTTCTGTCTCTACACACTGGGCACAGGCACCTCAGATGGAGCCCACTTAGATGGACCCGTTCCCTTATGCCTCCTGCATGGTGACTTCTATGTAACAACCAGATGTTTCATTTCATGAAGGAGCTAGGAATGGTGTGGAGACCGGGTCAGAGCTGTGAAGTTGAAGGAACTTATTGCTGCTCCTTGTCTCAGAGTAACAGTCAGAATCCTGGGCAGTACAGCAGACCTGCTTGTGGGCACCTCGCCCTGGCTTCCCAGTACCTGCAGGAGAGAGTTCAGGATTCAGTTATGTCCAAGATCAGCTTCTAAATGGAGGTGGGAAGCTCTCTGCAGCCTTAGCTAGCAAGCAGTTGTGTGATGTGTAGTCACCAGTCTGCACTGTCAGCGAATTGGGCTATAGTTAGAGCTAAGACAGTGATTTCTCCTGTGGAGAGGCTGGGTATGCTGGGGCTGCACTCCTTGCTTGCTGTTGAGCCACCTGGGCAGCAAGGTTGATCACTGTGCAACTTGTCATCACTTTCAGAAGCCTTCGGCATGGATGTTAACAAATGTTAACTCTCTGGTATGAAATGGCACCAGGCAGGCAAGTCCCCTAAGACTGGGGAGGTTGTTTCAAAAGCCAGGATGGTATTTAATTCTCTTTCATCCTTTGTCTTTGCTTATGCAAATACAGAATAAATAGTAACCATGACAACAGAGACTGGCCCAGATTCTGAGGTGAAGAATGCCCAAGAGGAAACTCCACAGCAACAGCTGGAGGCTGCAGCAAGTGGGCCGACCCCAGTGACCACCAGCCCTGGACCAACAGCTAGCAGCCAGGAAGCTGAGGCCAACGAAAAGCCCAGAGCCCACTCAGACTCCAGAAATGCAGAGCCGGTGAGTGGACAGTGGGCCAAGTAGTCACTACTAAATGCTGTGACCCAGGCAGTCAAAAGTTGGGGGTAGCTGGAAAGTGTCTGCTCTGCAGGTAGCAGGTGTTCTCAGAAAAGCTCAGCTTGTGATGGCCATTCCCAACTAACTGAGATGAATGGAGCTCCCTTCTTCCTGCTAGAAGCGATAGGTCTATCCAGATCAGGACTGGGCCTCCTTGGTAGAGCAGTATGGGAAACTTGTCTATGCTGCACCTGTTGTGCCTCTGGCAATTGCCCGGCACATTTTTCTAGTGCTGAATTCACCATGCCGATATAAACAGTGCCCCTGCACATTGCAATAAGCCAGACTCATTGGGCCAAAATGGGCTGGTGCCACTAGTCGCCTAGGCTTTACACTACCCGGATGGCACTGAGGGTATGAATGGTGGTATTATTAGCTTAGCAGAAGCCAGCTGCTCCATTTACCACCAGCTAGAGACCTGCTGAATGCAGCCAACAGCTGCATGTGGAGCCCGCCCCCCAGTATCTCAGCTCTGCAGCCTCTTGTCCTTCTCCAGCTGCTCAAAACCTGTATTGCCCCACAGGTGACCACATGTCTCCTTTGTTTTGTGGCCCATCCACCCTGTCACTTTCACACCCTGCTGAGGGTTTGTGGTCTGGAAGCTGATCTGTGCTAGATGCTAGCAGACTGGATTCAGTGTACTGGCCTGTGTGCTGCGGTGTTTGCAGGGAGTACAGACTTGTCTGCTGCCTGGCTTTGTCTGCCAATAATTGGACAAGCCCCTGGGATGGCCCAGCTGTGCCCAGCCTCCCTTAGACACTGCTTTGAAAACTCAGTTTGCCTCTTGCTCCTTTCCCCATAGCCACATCTGTCCTGCCCTCCCTGGCCAGAGCTCACAATGGCCAACACAAATGGAACACCTGAGGCCTGATCCTTCCCAGCAGTAGGGCAGATGTTTGTAAGCAGAAGCCCAAAGGAGAGAATAGCACTGCTGAGCAGCTGCCCAAGTCACTACCCTCCAGCAACAGGGCCAAGGACAGCAAAGGAAGCAAGTAGCTAAATTTCTCAATGAGCTGAAACACTCTGGCAGAAATAAGAGGAGCCTAGTGGCAGGTAACACTGGTGGCTAGTGCAGGGGTGGGCAGTTATTTTGGGTGGAGGGCTGCTTACTGAGTTTTGGGAAGCCATCGAGGGCCGCCTGACAGGTGACCAGGGACAGATAAATATTAATTTTTTAGGGGCCCCACAGGCCAGATAGAATGGTTTGACGGGCCACATCCAGCCCATGGGTCGCATTTTGCCCACCCCTGGGCTAGTGGTTATCCCAGAGGCTGCTGTAACTTAAGTTTCTGCAAAAGTCCTTTGTTCTTCAGGCCCATCCTGGCACCTGCAGTGTGGAGGGGAAAGGAGTGGACAGTATGGGGCCAGCAGTGCCAGCCTTGTGCATCCTGCAGGATATACTCCTTTGCTGGCAGAATCCTCAGAAGCTCCTGTAGAGCAGCTTTCTGGCTGCTGTGAGTTGCGTGAGCAAGGATCTGGCCCCACATAGGCTCAGACACCCTTGCTCTTCCCACAGACTCCAGGAGAAGGGGCTTCTCTAGAAAGAGTTTATTGCTGAAAACAGGTTTTCAAGACTTTTTCACCTGATGAAGCCAGTTCAGCCAGTGCAGAGGGAGCTCCATGTTACCTCCCTCACTCCCTGGTTGTCTTGTTTCTAGACTGGTGTTTCTCAACCTTGTTAAACTTAAGGCTGCCCTCAGAAAATGTGAGCTCTTCTCTTTCACTCTTTTCTTGACCACCAAAAAATACTAGAGCAATTCTTCTGTTGCAAAGAACTCAGAAAGACTCCAGCAAGTCAGAATGCTTTTGACACTATGGATGCCTATTTCAAATATCTGGGTTTATTTTGTGAATCATATTTCCACACTTAGCAGTGTGTGTTGCCTGGCAGCCTTAAAAGGATCTCACATTTTCCTTGTTGAGAATCACCATTCTCGATAAATCCCTGGCCCAGATCACCAGGTTGGCATGGCATAGGAGCTGCCTGCCACAGTATCAGAGCGGACCAGCCAAAACATTTAGGCACAGCCCTGACGCTGACCCGCTCTGCATCTGCTCTGGACCACCCACCCACGTTGAGCAGCAGCAGTGACCAGGCAGAAGTTGCTGCTTAGCACTGGAGAAATGTGGTTCCTCCCCCTCACCGGTGCTGGGCCCTTCTTGCTGCGGCCACCCAGAGCCCATGCCTGGGCTGCCTTGTGGCTCCTCTGTCTTGCCATCACCACCCCCTCTGGACCACTCAGTGGGGCAGCAGTGGCAGTGCAGAGGAGCCACAGGGCAGTCTGGGTGGGGGCTCCAGACAGCTGTATCAAGAAGGGCCCAGTAGCAGCGAGGGGGAGGGGCCACTTTTCCCCAGTGCCAAGTAGCAGCTTCTGCCTGGCTGCTGCTGTGCTTGCTCCTGCTGCTGCTCAGCATGGGCAGGCGAGTCTGGAGCAGGCACAGGGTGGGTTGTGGGGCTGTGTGCTTGGTTTCTGGCTGGTCCAGAGCTCGTCTGCTCCTCTGGGTCAAGTTTGGAGGGGCACAGAGTGGGCAAGGGTTGGGGCTGTGTACAAAGGTCCCTGCCTGTACCACAGGGCTGGGCCAGCAGCGATGGCAGCTGCAAGGAGCCGTCACTGCCTGGGCTGCCTAGAAAGGAAGTCCAGCTGTGGAGCTGCCCCAGCCCTGTTGTGTGCCTGGGGGTGGCAGGATGTGCTACGGGCCAGATGGTGCCTGGGCCAGGCAGGACCAAGGGACCTGCTACAAGCCAAATAAAGTCCCTGTGCAGGCTGGATCCAGCCTGTGGGCTATATTTTGCCCACCCCTGATCTAGGTCCTCTCCTGGAGAAAACTCAAGAGATAAAGCATAGGAAGCAGTGGTAAATACACTCCCTCACTACCTTTTTAGCATGTCTTGTCCCAGACTTGGAGGGTAGAAGAAAACATCCCTTAGGCACATAGAGAAATAGGGTATCTAAGCCATCGCAAGCGGACTGAGACACTCAGAACCTCTGCCTCTCGGCAGGGCTGATTAGAGTGAGCCTGCAGTTCTGACCAAAGGTGACATACTGCTCCTGGTGCTCAGTTTCCTGGAGCTGTACTGGGGTATTAGACATATGCCTAGAGACTGCAAAATGCACCAAGCTCCCATTCTACCCTTTAACAAAGCCTCAACACCAGACTCCAAGGAATACCAGGCCAAATCTCCCTTTTGTGCAATGATGTGGGCAGATGCCTGATGTAGACCTGACTGGAGATGTGGGCTTCATGTTCTTCAGTGCAGTCCAGGTCCTGTAGGTGCCTGTGCCAAAACTACACAGCTGCTCTTTCTTGGTGCACCCAGGAAGCTGTGAATGTGACAGCACCATGCTGGCAAACAGATCCCATGTCCAGCAGAGCTATGCTTCCCTCCAGGCAGAGGTTTTCATGTGCAGCCCAGTGTGTTGATTTGAGAGCCAGGCTGTCCATGTCTGTCAGTGTTGTGGCTAGAAAAAGGCAACGTGTCGTTAAGCAAGCGAGTTAGTCACTCAGGGCCAATGGAGTGAAGGTGACATCTTGGTTTCACTTTCATCAGACAATCCAGAGCAACTCACCAACCTTCTCAGAGTTACTGTGACTGTTGCTGTCTTAGCTATCTGATCCCCCTCCAAGATCTGCAGGCCAACCCTGATTTCTGATACTCTGGGATGGGTGGACCAACCCAATGAAAGCACCCTGCCCCAGCTTCCAACCCTGCTCCGGCAAGAGACTCCTCTAGCATTACTATTGCTCCACATGTCGAAAGGGGCAGGAAGGAAGGTCAGGGTCACTCCCTACAGCTCCCACTTCACTGAGGGTTCAGAAGACACTGCAGTTCATAGCGGTGGACCCCTTCTTGTTATTCACTCAGTGTGCTGTGTCCTGATATATCCCCCAAGCCCAGCATCTCCCTGATGGTTGTATAGGCTGAGTCTGCCAATGGTCAGGGCCCCAAATGGGTGCAAGGTAACAGTGTTGGTTTCTCACTCTCCAGGGTGCAGAAATGGAAGAAAAGGACTACAGTGAAACAGATGGGATATCAGAGAAAACAACGCCCAGCAAGACCCAGAAGTCCCCACAGAAAATCACTAAGAAGGCCAAGAGTGCCCTCTGCAGAGTGACCCTGCTTGATGCCTCGGAGTACGAGTGTGAAGTGGAGGTGAGCAATATGGATGGGTCTGTCTGTCTCTCTATCACTCCTTGCTGGGCTTGATTCTGATTGTCTTGTCTCCTTTCTCAGCCCCTGGCTTTCTAGCATGAGGCCAAGCTGTTTTGCTCCGGAGAAGTGACTTTGGCAGCATCAGCTGGAGAAGGTTCTGCCATCACTTCCCTCATGCTGTGTGGGGGCTGCCCAGAGTGGGAAGTCAGCCACCTGCTCTCAGCAGGCAACTGGCAGGATCCAGGCCATACCCCTTACTGTCCAGCAGCAGTTTTCAGAGCAAGTGGTCTAAACAGGCCCTGACTGTGGGCCACCCTCAGACTCCTTAGTAATGACAGGCCTTCCACTGTTGCAGGGAAGCCAAAGAAACCCCACAGTCTGGGCAAGAGATGCCTGCTGAGCTACATTTTGTGTGTGTTTCTGAGGGGTAAGGGTGGCAGAAAGGGGCCTCTTGCTTCTCACAGCCACCTTGTGTCATCACTGACATGTCAGCTGCACAGTCTAACAGCCTCATATTCCTCCTGACAGGCGTTCTCATGCCTGTCATGGTTGGCATAAAACAGAAACAAGGAATGGACCCAGGAGAGAGGAGCAGTGAAACACAGACGTGTACTCCCACGCATGGGCATGTGCATTAGTAGACAGACATACACATTACTTTGCAGAGACTTCCCCAGATACTACCTGACTGTAGTGAGATGATGACACTTAGGAGTCTTGGGCTCTGTTTTAGGCTTTCAGGGGCACAGACTGTTCTGCCTCTTCTTCTGAAGCTTTATGGCCACCAAACTTGCCCCTGTCTCTTTCTCTGTTAAGTTTTTTTTTTCTCCAAGCCAGTCCTAGTCTCTACTCCTTGGATTTCCCGT